AAATTGTAGGTGGTCCTTTCCTCTTGATAAGCTACAACATGTAATTATTTCCTTTTTTTGTTTGTTTGGTTTGTTTTTTTAGTCTAAACAAAAGATAATTACGTATTAATTTAGTGGAACAGACTAATAAAGACTGCTTTCCTTTTCAAAAAAATAATTTCCAAGACTCCAACAAAGTATATGTGTGGTCCTAATACTCTTATTTTTCTGCACAATTAGCATTTGCCATGCTAGGCCACTCTAGCACAATAAAGAATAAATAGTGAATGTCCTTAAGCAATTATTTTCAGTGGAATCAGAGTATACAAATTGATTTAAGTGCACTTTTGGAGACATTGTAGAGTAGAATTGATTTTGCAGCCCATGGATTAACTTTTATGCCAAGAATAAAATTGGAGGTTTTGTCTTACTCCAAACCCAAAACGTAATCCCATTAGAAGCTAAAAGACCTAGTACTTGTACTTTGTGCTATTTTCATTCTTCAGAAATAACTAATTGCTAATACTCAAAATTATAAATAAGTCATGTATTATATTGCATAGATATGACGAGTCAGGCTGTTTCTCATACAGAAAAAGATTAGCACTAATTGTCAGAATTAAAATTTTTGATGACTTATTCTAAATGTTGAGGTTGAAAGAACTGATAAACTCTAGAGATTACCAGGCTACCAGTGCTGCTATTGTGTAGTGTGTTACTTTTTCTCTTTTGCTGTATATGTTCTCTACTCTATGCATAAATGATCTCTCCCTCTGCTTTAATAAATCAATAGATAAAGTGGATTAAAAGGTCTGCTGCTTAAATAATACAGATAATAATATACCAAAAGCTATAATAAGTACATTTTGATTCCATAATAGATTTATAAATGGATGACATTTAAAAAACCTCAAGCATTAAGAATGAAAGAAACATCAATGATATCATCAAAAGTGTTATCATTAAAAACTGAGGGATGAAAGTGGGCAGGGAAATTCAGTCTGAATACTCTTAGAAAAGAAAAAGATGCATTGTTTACCATGGGAATTGCTGTGATTCAGATAATTCAGTCCATGTTGCAGTGATGATTACCCTGTGTTGTGAAATGCTAAATATTCACTTGGGCGATGTAGCACACCATGGTCTAGGGAGTGATCCTGCTTTAGCGTGCGAATAGGTTACGTGCCTACTATGGACATAATCTGAATCTCTAGGGAGTCAACAGAGCAAATGGAAATTAGTGATGCAGAGAGAACGTGCAATTTTGTGATCTAAATTTTTCTCATCTGTTCTGTTCTCCTCAGCATGGTACTGATACTTGCCACCACTGATACAAATTGCTTTGGTTTCTTCATGTGTAAAAGGAGGTTAATAGTACCTTTCTCATACATGAAATTTTATTCCTCTTATGGGAAGCATCAGCAGTAGTGATTTACAGAACTAATGTTTGAAATTACAATTCATAGTTTTTATCTTCATAAGGGGATAAGTAAGTGCCTTATTGGCTACTGCTGATAGTATTGGATACCTTTTGTATCTTGGTTATGAAGAGGAATAGCTGCAATGAATGGTTTACTGAAAAACAGAAAAAAATAATTGAAATTAATAGGAGGCTAAATGTTTTATTTCATAGTCAAAGACTAACGGTACAGCAGAGTTGTTACCTGTTTTTTTCTTTGTTTTGTTTTTTCAGTACAAGAGTTTAGACTCTATTGTTAAGTATATATTTTTTAAACATTCCCTTGTTCCATCCGTCTTAATTGATCCACAGATCTGCCAGAAAGCTATGCCTTGCTAAAAGGACATGACAAGCCATTTGGGTATAAGATTATCTTCATAAATAAGTGATACAGTACTGTAACTTGTTATATGATAACTCTGTAAAACCAAGCATATGTTAGTATTCTAACAATTAACTGGATAAGCCTCATTTGAATGATGGGAAAAGTACTTACTTTTTTGTATATATTAATGTATTTGCTTAACATTCATGGTTTTTTAAGTAAGTTCATATTACTATATCATGTAGTTTTACCATGATGGAATTCCAAATAGGCTTCAATAGGTTCAGTTCACCTGAGATACTAATTCTAGAGGAACTATCTCTCCAGGATACTCCTCCTGCATTAACACCATAATGTTGAGTAGCATCTGTGTTCTTGAAGGCTTTGTACTTTGGTTTGATTCTCATTACATCATTCTGAAAATAATTTTCATGTGTAATTACATAATTTACCCTAACACAATAAAACTAGTGGTTGAAAATGTGTGCCTTTGTAGCATTCAGAAAGGTCCTAATCATACTGGAACTTTGCAATTTAGGAGTATGATTGTATGGTGATAAATGAAGGTTCATGAGCAGAAAAAAAAATCTGATCAGAAGTTTTCCATGATAACACGTCACCTAATACAGAGTAGAAATTCATATTTATTTTTCAAATTTAGAAGGTGGAAAACTGGCATTTTAGGAGTGAAATCCAAATCAGAAATCCATTGAAAACATGACTAACCCACTTTGGTATTTCATTCTCTCCTCCTTGCATTGGAAAGCCCACGGCTACAGCACCATTTGCAAACAGAGGCAGCTGTCAGTCTTAATGATAACATGAAATAATCTTTCCCCGTACTTCTCTGGAGACATATCAAGACACAATTAAACCTTGGGGCTGTGGCTCCCTTCTCTTATGTTGTCAGGTTGCAGCATGTTCTCACCTTCCAAATCTCAAATTTTACTGCTATGAAGGGAATAAATAATAGCTCTTGCAAACCTGAGTCTTGATCTGGAATAGCTTTGAGGTTATAGATGATGTTCCTCATTGATGTGAATGTGACTGGAGAACTATCTTGGGCCATACAAGACCTCACAGGTATCCTGCTGAAATCCAGGATCCAGTGAGTAGCCTGAGCATCCAAAATCACCTGGTTGGACTAGATGATAATTTTAGGTCCCTTTCAACTGAACTATCCTATTCAAAAATATATTACTTGTGTATTGCATGACCTTTGTATTCGAAGTGAAAATCCCCATGTCCAAATTCATATACTTGATTTTCAGTCAAATAATTTACATAATTTTCATTCTTATTATTTCTTTGAATGCCCTGTAGTCTTATTATCTATGATAGTTTGCCACCTTGTACAGGCACGGGGGATTTTGTGAAGAACATAGTTAGCTAATGTTAAAACTGTTGTTTTCTAGTAAGAAAGAAATACTAATTAAGGCCTACTTCATTTATGTCACTTATGTGTTAATAATTATTAAAGATGCTGATCATGGAATAGCCACCTTCTGAGATGTTTTTAAGAACTGGCATAAATAAACGGGTAAGTTTTCAATACTTAGTTTGATTGAGTATTTCTGCCTTTTCCTTCACAAATCAGGGCACATTACTCATTCTCAGTTCTAAGTATTTTGCAGAGTAGAGAATGGCAGTATAGATTTATGATATCATTGGTCAGACACAGAGGGAGGTTAAACCATAGAGGAAAATAAAGTTACAAGTAATTAAATTTACAAGCAGGTTTGCCATCTTCAAAAGATTTAGTGTTTCAGAACAAACAATGGTTTAGCCACACAAGAAAACTGTGAGACAGCCTTAGCAGTGTATGATATAGATATTATATGTGGTGTTTCAATTTATATCATTAAAAATTGAGTGCTCCTTTTTATGGTGTATAGGATTTTCAACTGCAAACCATACATGGTGAGTAATAAAATAGCTGCAATGCAGTACTGTGTACATTTTTTAATCGCTGAAGCACTCTGTCAGGATCATTAGTTTCAGGTTATCTAAGGGCTTTATCTTCAGATAAAAAAACAACACTGTATATAAGTTTTTGAGGTTTTTTGAGGGGGATAGGTTATTATTTTCTATTGGTATGAATTTCAGATGTTCACAGGATTCTAAGCTGAGGGGTTTTTTCCCTGATACGCTTCGATCTACTAACCAGTAAATATGATAAATAGAAATGTACCATTTCCATCCTGTACTTAGGAAGAATTCAGTAGTAGCAAGGTTTTGGCAAGGTCTTTCTTCTATTTCCACAAAGCATAATGCATTAGATTACCAATGTATTATGAGGGAAAAATAAATAACTGAATACATAAAATGAAGCTGCTTTTTGGGGGAGGGGAGGGTGAAGGGGTTTTGAGGGGTTTTATTAATTTTTTTCCTATTTCATTGTTCGTGAAATACAGAAATCTACATTCTTTTTGGCATAATTTCAAATTAGAGAAGTCCAGTTACTTTATCAGAAGAGATTTCTTTAAAAACCGAGTCATATGTGCTTACCAGTGTGTGTTGCATATAAATTGCGTTGATCCTGTTTTTTTAAAAATAAATTATATTTTATGTAAGCACAGTAATTCCAGAACTTACTGGATTGCAGACCTTAGAGGGTCTTTAGTATTTCTGGTTTATTGATGCGTTTGAATACTTGGATAGACTATGTTCTTTATAAAAAATAGCATTTATTCAGGTGCAACATATTTAGTCTCTGATTTAGAAACATACACCCGACCTTCGGGGAGCGGGGGGGGGCAGGGGAAGGTATGCAAGTTTTTCAAAGAATTGCTGTAGTTGGACAAAAATTCAGAAATCTTTATGCATTCTCCACTGTGTATCTTCATTTAAAGTCGGATTCAGCTTTGTTTGGTGTATGGGTTGGGTTTTCTGATTTTACATTTGAGAAAATGAGGTTGCAGCCAGAATATTACAACTCAGAAGAATTCTTGGCATGTATACAGCTTAAACATACCTGAAACGAATCACTGTAACCATGTTGGTTCAGTCGCATCTAGAGCAGCAGCAGTGCTCATTTGTGGCCCCTCTAAAAAAAACCTCTGTCAGCTCCTGCCAGCTGAATTTGCCCAGGTGGCTTTTGTGTGCAAATCTTCTATTTAGCCCCAGTATTACAGTGTCACATTTTGATTTGAAGAAACAAACCTGAGAACTCTCCTTGAGAACATCTCACATTCAGAGAGACTGAAGTTACACCTGGCCCTGAGCACAGGTTTGGCAATGCCAGAGCAAGGAAATGTGGTGGGGGACCAAGGGATGAAGGTGCCCTGCCTGCCAGAGAATGACATGAATGAATCCCACAAAGTTGCACTAAGGAATTTTCTTGAAAGGTCAATGTCTAAGGTACTCCACATCAGACTTAATAATTTGAAATCTCTCTAGGAATGATATAATGGACTCAAGAACAACTTAACTGAAAGAGGCCTCTATGGTAGCTAGAATCTGCACAAAGATGAATTTGTCAAAACATATGGCCAGATCATTGTGCTCCATTTAGAAAAAAAAAAAAATCCTATGGGATAGCCTTGTCTTTTTCACTCTAGCTGTATACAAAAGATTCTTTAATCAAGTGTGCTATTCCAGCAGAGGGATGATGGATTTTGATGTAAGGTCTTGGGCTGTAATAATAATGGAGAACAATTTAATTTGTTCAATGAAAATATCTTGGTCAAATCGCTGCTTTCAAATGTGAAGCAAGTTCATGCCTTTTTTTCCAAAGTACGGATTTTTTTTTTCTTGCAAAAGTAGGATTTTTCATTTCATGACTTAATTTTTTTTGACCTTCTTTCATTTTGGGGGTACCAAGTGCCATCATAATTCATATTCTGTATTCAAGTGCTACCTATTTTTGAAATGGGGCCTGAAGTCCTCATAGTTATTACTGCAGAAAAACAATAACCATCAGACTGAAAAGAATGTTTGCACCTATCTTCAATGCAGAATATAATCTGCAAAGTCAAATGAATATGTAATTCTCAAATGTAATGTAATTGCCTGCAAATTGTCTGGGTTTATCTACAAAATAGATTTTTGCCCCATTTCCCCAGAAAGTCACAGTGTACCTTATGCTGCCTGTGGCCTATTTTGTGAAATTGCAGTAGAATGGGTTCAAGCATTAGTAAAAAAGACCACACAGCAGCTTCTGAGTCATGAAATGTAGGTGTAATTTATGCAAGAAAAAGCTGAATGTTTGTTTAAACCCCTCAAGGTTTTTATAAGGAAACTGCTTTAGACTGAGCAGATGAAAACTTGAAGCAATCAATAAATAACTACAAAAAACTTTTCTGCTATAGGGAGACATAAATTTTGTGTTGAAAATCATATTTTTTGTGAGAGGTACAATTTTGCAGTGTAGATATGAACTCACACTTTTGTTACAGAAACAGTTCCAAGAAAGTTTCACAAATGCAGCTGATGCATTGCAGAAAATTACTCTTGGAAAACAATATTTGCCAACCTTACTTAGCACTCCACATTTAGAGGGAGGCTTTAAACAGTGCCTTGTATAGCAAGATTGGGAACCTCTGTAGTCACGTAGTTTACATTTGAAATGTGCTAAAATTAGCAGGGAACACTGTGCTTTAGTCTTCTTGAGCCCATGCTACAGGGAGATGGTGTTAACTGTGTGGACCCAGCAGTAAATCTAGCATGCAATTAGTCCACTGTCTTTTGCACATCCATCCACACAGATGTACCTATGCAAGCACACAGCCTTGGGGTACTGTTGAGGAACCTGGCACAATAGCTGCCACTTGTAACTCCTTGTGTTTGTGCTAAGACTTGCCTTTAGTCAAGGAAATAAAAATTTTGGCCATTGATATTTTCTATTAGATTTTTAAAAATAATTTACATCCTGTCTCAATATTGTTCATATTCCACTTCTTTAAATTATATAAAATGGTGAATGATGATACTCTATCAAATGCCATAAAAAGCTTAATGCACTGTTACCCATTATCTCCTGCAGTATATATTTATGAGTACAGCAATGGATATATACATACGTCTGTGTTATAAACTAATCATTGATCATGATACAAATTCCAACTGCTAGTTTAACCACTTCACACAATTTTTATATAGGTTAAATGTATGAGTCAATTAAAGAGAAGTATAAATATAGATATTTGTGTTGTATGCTTATAAGGGAACTTTTTTTCAAGAAAGTAGACTGTTAAATCATGTTACCGTAACAAATGCTGAAGGCTGCTTTTTCATTCATTGCCACTGAATTTATTGTCAGAGCAGTACAGTCATATCCCATTTCAAGATTACTTAGGTGGCTTGAAAATTAAATCACAGCTCACAGATTCTCTTTTTTTCACACATGACTAATAGTAGTAAAACTGGGTCTACTTTTAAGTATACTTTGCAGTGCAATTACGAGCGTGAACTGTGAAGAATTTAGTAAATAGAAAGTGATTTTCCGTAAATTAACAATGAATTGAATAAAACAAAATTGCTGTCAAAATATGTGGAATTATTTTCAAAATAATTTTATCAATTTGGTATAAGTTGGGGAGTGTGGTTTTATAATGTCCTCAAATTATTTTTTGCATGTTCATAAATCTGAAAGAGATCTTCAGGAGTGATTGCTCAGAACTGGAAATATGAACTCTTGCTGGATTATGTTTTAGAGTATGTCAAACGTGTGACTGTTTGTGTCTAATCAACTAAATGATTCTTGCTTATTCACTTAATCGGAACTAGATCTCTTATTTCTGTGTGCAGTTTTGCACTCTAAAAGCTTTCTCTAAAATAGATCGTCTAAAGATGTCTCTACACGAGGCATAGCAAAACTTTACTTCTGTTAGGAGTTGGATTGCATTTGGTTTGCTTTTGGAGTGTAGATCCTTGCTTGGTTTTAGCATAATGGAACCTAGTTAACCGTAAGAAAGTGCTGTGCAAATAGACTGAAAATCCCTGGATAGAGACACCTCTATGCAACTTATTTGTTTGTACATTTTAGTCAGATGCTCAAGATGCTTCGTGTAATTAATTGTGTTCCCCTTATTGTGTATAGATAGATGCTTCTCAGAAGGCTTCCAAAAGAAGGTCTGATTTCTTAATTTTAATGCACCAAGGTTCCTTTGAAGGCCTTCAGATATTTGTGTACGTTGTGCAATAGGTGTGTTTGGTCCAGGGTAGCAAATTATTGTCTGGAGTGAAACCTCCAAACTCACTTGAATGTATTGATCATCTTCTATTGTATTTCATTGCTTGTTAATGGTGCATAGCATAAACAAAAAGCTCTGGATTCTACTTTGGTTTTGTTTTGTGTCTCCTCTGCTACTGTCTTTAATTCAGTTTTTTAGATTTTTTTTTTCCATTATTGAACTGTGAAGGACAAAGATATGTCTGAATTTCAGAAAAAAAGGCTGTTTATTCATACTGATAACAAAAAAAAAATACTACTGAATAATAATTTTGTAATATATTCAATAATACTTCTCTTTTGTAAAAGATAGTTTCAGATAGTGTGGTACAGCTGGTCAGACAGGGATTTTGTGGAGGAGCATTAGATATCTGCTGCAGGATGGTTTCAATGCCTTCTTTTGAAATGTATGGTACTTTCTTTGAAACTGTATCGTGTTTATCATTCTGAAACAAAAGTCAGAAACATATTGATCTCTCATATTACACAGCTTCATAGTTGTTTCTCAACATCTCACTATTTTTTCTTTTTGCTGGATTTCAGTCTTCCTTACACAAAGCTGAAAATACTATCAAACATTTAATGTTGTGAATTTGGAATGATTGAAGAGTGAAAACACTGAGTTAAAAATGAAATAATTTCTGCCTTCATTGTTAAAATAGTTTTTTGGCATACATGTTACTGTTTGCAGAGGAACTCCTTAGTGGAACACTGATAAACTAATTTCACTATTATTGCTACTTGTTTTTCTTCAATTACAAATCAGTTAAGGAAATAAAATAAGCTTAATTGGAAACATTGACTGAACAATAATGACTAAAATTATTTTCTTATATTTCTGTTGTGTTTTACACAGAACTAAATAGATATATGGCATCTTTACATTGAATTTATTTTTTTTCCGTAGTGATCTTAGTGAAAATCAGATTCAAGCAATACCAAGGAAGGCATTCCGAGGAGCAGTGGACATAAAAAATCTGTAAGTATTTTCTTCTTTCTTCTATATATTCTGATGATAATGCTTTGTCAATACAGTGTCCTTTTGTTGTATCAGATATCTTTTTCCTTAGCACTTTTATAGCTGCTTAAGAAATCTCTGCATAAAACCGATACTTACCATTTGTTTTGCCAAAATACTTCAGCATATCTTAAACATTCTAAAATTACCTTACATGAAATGGAAAACATTGAAATAGAGTTGAAGACAAAATGGCATTATAACTATTGGTTTATGGAAACTGAGTTTAATATCTGAATGTCAGGCAGTTTGAAACATTTTATTGTTTCATGTGGAAAAAATCATTTTGCTTTGGTTCCAAAAGTCTGACATTGGTTTGCTTATATAAAAGAAAGAAAAATTGTGGTATTATCTAGTTTTGATAGCATATATTTTTATACTTGCATGGATATTTTTCTTACACAGTTTTCTTCTGTGGCCTTTTGTGAAAGAAAGATACTCACTTTCCAGGAGATGGTGACCCTGAAGTTCATGGGCAGGTTTTGAATTCTTATGGCTTCTAAATGTGGAAATATGGTTGTTTTGTTTTTTTTTTAACAAACACAGAACATTTGATTACCATGACATACAGTAGCTCTATTAAGCTTTTTCAAAGTTGGTTAGCAAACTTCACAGAACTTGACCTGATAGCATATTTTATTGTATCTCTCTAGTCTTTATGGAGCAAAGGTGTTAACTCAGATAATTTGAAGGAAATTGCTTCCTTTAGGGTTGATGATACCGCTGTGATCTCCTGCTAGTGTGTAAGCTCCAGAGTCCTCTTGGAGTTTCTCAGAAGAAGCTGTCTAGTTTCCATAAAATGCTTCCATGATATTTTCTTTCTGGACTTCTTAATAACGCTGACAGCATAGATTCTGTAGAAGATAAAAGCATAATGGGCAAACGATTATGAGAATTGACAACTCAGGGAACCTACCACACCTTTATGGTAAAAAGAGTAAAAAAAAAACCTGAGAGGCCTCATGAATCTACTTTACATCTAATTAAAATTACCTATTTTCCAACTTGTTATATCTCATAACTGAGAAGAATCTGGCTCCAGCTGTACTCTCACTTGATGTAGTTGTAGGCAGCAATAAGATCCCCTCTTTGTTGTCTCTCTTAAAGCCCAACAGATGCAATTCTTGCAGACTATGCCCAGATGTCACCTGCTTCAAGCCTTTCACATTGGTGGCCCTGTTTGAACCAGTTGCCATCTCACAAATTCCGATGTCTTCTCACAAAGGCCAAACAAAGTGTCCTTGTCTTCACTCTCACCAGTGCATTCCAATTGTTTGTAACTAATTGTGTTCTTCTGTAAAAGTGACAAAAATGAGGGAGGCTTATTTTGTAGCCATTCCCCAGACTAGAAACACAGCATCCAGTATTTTGGCCATTCAGTTGTTATAAAAAATATCTACTGTGTGTCAAAGTCTCAATTTTTCTGTTCAAGAAATTATTCTTGAATGACTTGAAGAATAATGCACTTTTAGTATAACTTCTCATCTGGGACTTGACAGAAATTAGGCTGCAAATTCTGGAAACATAATTCTGAAAGTTACTCCTAACTTGCTACTTTTTCAGGGAGATAAGTATTCACCAAGATGTTAGATTCTTCAGTGAACACAGTGGCACTCACTGTTTTTTAAAAACAAATAGAAATTATTATATAAATGGCAAACTAAACACACATTTTTTAATATACATGTTAATGATGGTTCCATAACCCTCCCTGGTGATATAGTACTCTTGCTGGATGTGAAAGATATTTAAAATCTCCCCAAACTGAGGAAATTTGCTTATATTTAAGATTGTAAAAAAATGAATTAGATGCCCAGATTGTTAGTTTGGATGGGATGTTTTTTGAATCTGGTTAGAAGGAATAAAAATAACTGGGTTACAAACAAATGTAAAGAACCACCGAGAGAACAATAACGCTATGCTCTCTTTTTGAGTAGATTTTGGCATTATAACTTTTCCATTTCAAGTGTGTAAAATTTTCTAAGATACCAGTTTTGTCTTCCTCTATGTAATCAGTACTTGGCAGAGGATGGAAAGGAATATACCAACATCATGGCATAATTGTGATGCTAAATATATGCAGCTTCAAATAATATCAAAAGTAGCAGGGAACATTTTCATCATATCTTCTTCAAGGATCTGTTGCTCTGTTTTTCTTGTCACGCTCTAGGCCTTACTTTTGATTACTCTTTTCTTTGTGTTCATTTGGTGCCATTTTTTCCCAGCAAGAGGAGAGACTGTAGCTGTCACACCAGGGATAAAGGCTGCAGGGCAATGTAGTGGCTTCACAGATTAAATTGCCTGGGAAAATGAAGAATTAGTGGAGAGAGAGACAGTCACCAGCATCAAATCGAAGTCCTTTCCATTATACTAACCTTTGTCCAAAACCTTGATTGATACTACTTGGTGTTGCCCCAATGCCTCTTTTATGCTGACTGTGAAAGATTTAAAACTGACATTGCCACTAAAGACATAAATGACTTTTGTGTTAATCTTTGTTGGGAATGATTGGACTTTTTTTAAAGTTCAATTATTAGCAGTTGAAAAAGAGAGTTCTGCTGAAGATTTTCTAGTTACTGATTTCGTCTCAGATCATGCACAGAATTCCACTATGGAATTATATTTGTCTACTTACCTGTACAAGTGCTGATCCGAATGCATTGCTTGTCTAAGATACGCTTTATTAATTTAGAATTTGATATTTCTCATGCTTGCTCTTACTGGGACTCTCAATTGGACTGCTAGTCTGTTCAGCCACCTGCATTTTAGGTATACATCAAGAAGGGTTTTCACAGGATATTACTGAAATATACTCTGTGTATGCTTAATATTTTTATTAAAATCAAAAATAGCTCTGAAAGCATCAAGAAAAGAATAGGTACACTTTTCTAGTACCTCCTAAAGCTCTTTTTGCCAAACACATCGGTGACCCTGTGGCCTTTGTGAAAAAAAACTTAGTAAGCAACAAAATTAACTGCATTAGTAAAATAAAGAGCAAGTAGAAAAAAAAAACAAAAACAAAACAAAACAAAAAAAAACCAAACTTGACTTACAAATGAAAGAATAATCACAATAAATAGTAATAGTCATGGGAAACAAACAGTTCTTTGAAGTTTGATAAATACTCGGAATATATTCTTGTATGATTTTGTTACATCTTTTTCAACCTATTCCTCTGAAATTATTGATTCATCTTTAAATGGAGAAGAAAAGTAAGAAATAAGAAACAGAAGTCAGTTCTGTTGCAAAAAATACAAGGAGACATTAAAAGGAAAGAGTGACTGTTTCTAAAAATTGTATTGTTGTGATAAATATTGTGCACACAAGGATGTGAAATCCAGCATACAGTATGCTAAAACTTTTTCCAAAATTTTCTAGGAAGAAAGCTATTGCAGAAATCTATAAAGGCTTCTCATTTTTTCTGTTGACTTCTTAAACAGAGTTTATCACTAAGTTGATACACAAGGAGAACATAATAATTTCTGAACAAAGGAGAAGAAGGTAAAACTGAAGAGTACCTCTCTAGCACAAGACTACAAAGTGTCCTCAAGCTGTGAAGAACAGGAGAGTAAAGCAGACAGATTGTTTGAAATTGTCCCAATTTTCAAATCTCTAAAATGAGTAAATTCTCTGTAGAATCAGATGACAGTTTTTTTCTGTATGAGAGTAGTAGTTTTTAAATATATGTAACATCTTCTCTTAGTCATTAAATGTGGGATAACAAAATTTATTTTAATATATTTATCATCTCATAGAAAATATATGCTAAAAGAGAAGAGAATATAAGTTAGCAACGTTTCCACAATGCAAGATGTATCAAGAGCAGTAAATGAAATGCATTTTAAACTTAGTTGAATCCTTTTTATTTAGTTCTTCTAGTTCTTATTGCTGAGCTCAGATGCACATTAACATTTTAAGTAATGGTAGATTAGTGAGTATATTAAATACCCAGGTAATGCTGCAGATATGGGTGCAGAATCCAATTAATTCTCTGCGATAATGGAAACATTTTTAGTGTGACAGTTTTTTGTGTTTTCTGAGCTTCACGGGAATGGCAATGCTGGAGCTGCTTTGTGAGGGTTGGAAGCAAAAAAGGAACAGCACCTTTACAAAACTACGGAGAGATCCCAGATAGAACAGACAGAGAACGGAGATGGGGCAGGCAGGAAGATGATTAAGAAAGACTGGAGAGAGGGGAAGAAGGAGAATGTGCTGGAGTTGCTGGTCCATATCTGATCAACTTCTGTTCTCAGAATGTTCTAATGATTTGAAAAGAAGAAAAGCAGCTCTTAGGGGGGAAAAAACTTTTTAAAATGGTGTTAGGGTTATTGGTGTACTCAATAAGTTAGTGGTTGTATTGTAGATTTTTAGGTGTGGTTTTGAAAGTCATAATGCTTAAAATAAATTATAAAACATAACTTAAAATTAGAGAAGTGTGTACCTTTTTATTCTAGTATTCTTGCTTATGTGTTAAGTCATAGTACTCACATAGGTTGTGGTCAGGAACCGGTTTTGTCAAAAAAATTCAGACTGCTTCAGTATATCTGCTAGAGTGACACTACAAGTTATTGTTATGCTTGTTTGAAATATTGTCTAACTTTCTGTTTGGGTCATATATGCAGTAGATATTCTTACCTTTAACTTTACTTCTACCCTAAATTGCTATTCAAGCCAGGCACACAGTCTTCAAAGTCATGTCACTTTCATAACTTAAAAAATAAATAAATAAATAAATCTCACACCAATTGTTTTTCATGCTGTGTGTCTAATCATTTTATGTCATGGTTGTAACTGATGGAAGATAATCTAAAACGTAAAGACAGTAGTAGCTTTCAAAGACAGTAATTTTTAAATGTTAAGAAACATTTCTCCTCTCCCATCTCCAAAATTCCCTTCCCCAGAAAAAAACCAACTCATTAGTTCAGAACAAACATGGTAATCTTTCAGTAAGAAGGTTTAAATAGAAACAACTCACCCTTCACTAAGGTAGTGGTCATGGTGACTCATTAAAGGAAGAAGTGCAAAAGTTTTCGAGTGTAAGTGCTGCCAGCCTAGTGGAAGAAATCGGCCTTTTAGTTTGTGTAGGATAAGATTTGCTCAAGTGCTTTCTCTGCTGTTAAAAGATTTTCTTTTGTGTACAATATGGATGATTTAGAAGAAGCTGTGTCAGCACTGATTTATACATTGACAACTAAGGATAATAAGATGTGGGCAAACATACAGCTCACCCTTTTACAGATTAACCTGCAGACTGCATTAGGCAAATTTGATGGCATTAAAAGATTTTTCCAATTTGTCTGGAAACAATTTCTCTTTTGTATTGTGTCAAGGGTAACATTTCATGCCATTGTACTAATTTAAATAGCTTTGATAAATTGTTCAAGGGGTTAGAGAATTGTACTCTGTATATATTTTACCTCTTTAAAATAAAAAGGCTATTAGCTTAATTGTTAAATGAAATTCATTAGTAAAAATTGAAGGCTTAAATATTCCAACACTGCAGCACTGGTGCTGTAACATTGCACCAAAATGATTAAAGATCATATCCAGGAACTAATAGTTTGCATTTAGCTTTCAATACACAGACACAGAGGCACTGTTACAGTAATGACAATATTTAATCCTATGTAGTAGTAATTCAGATGAAAAGTATTGATGAAACTAGAAGAACTTTATAGAAGTTGGTACATTACATTCAGCAGTGGATGTGATGATTTATTAATAAAGTAAAACGTTATCATAGATTCAGAAGAATCACAGAAAATGCTTTCGTAAAAGTGTCATTAGCCCTGCTAGCTTATATATAATTGCAGACAGAAGGGCAGAGTTCATTTGTATTTTCTTCATTTTCTTAATATTGTTCACACACATTTACTTGTATATATTATTTGACACTGACAAGCTACCAGCTTGGAGAAGTTGTTTAAAGTAAGGTTTTATCATCTTTGCTTTACAATTCATGCCCTGAAATGCATAAGACATTACAGTATTTATAGGAAAAGCTTTTATCAGTAGAGAATGTGTGATTTTGTATTTGCATGGTTGTTAATTTAGGCAGGCATTTTTAATTGAGCTGTATGTGCTGTATAAATGTTTTGAATTGTAAAGGTAATAATATTCTTCAGAGAAATGAATCTAAATTTTTCATAACTTAATGCTTAAGGATTAATAATGTATGGGGTGGGTTGCTGAGTTTTATGTCTAGATTTCAAATACTCCATTACAACATACTATCTGCATATAATTGCAGTATGTAGAAAACCATATGCTGAAGGTTACAGCAGAAACACCACTTTCATTTGGAGCAGAATTAAAGGAGATAAGTAAACAAGTCTGTAAATGCCTTGGACACTATTATTTCTACATACAGACATATTCTAGAAGGTAATTATTCTAAATCCCCCCGCACACCCAGGAATAACACCTCCCACCCTGTCTTACATGCAGGGAGACCCCTAAAAGTGGTGTCTCTCCCCAGTCCCTGCCATGGTGGGAGGAATTAACATGCAGCTGGGCTGCTCTGATAAATGGATTCTGTTAGGTCACCGAGGGGATGCGTGTGACATTAAGTGATTTACCGTCCTTTACCTTAATGAAATTGTTTCAGCAAGATGACGCTGAGAGCTTTTAATGGATAGCTTTTCTTGATGTAATGAAATTGCATTCCTTTGGCATTTAATATAAGGTGCAGTTATTATTTACTGGAGCTTTCCCAGCGCTGCTGTTTTGCGCAGACAGTTGAGAACAAAAAGGGATTTCTGTGGCAGCGTGCAGGCCAGCGCGCTGTGCGACAGCCTCGAGCGGACGGGAGGGATGGCCAGAGCCTCTCCATTCGTGTGGCCTTGCTCTGCCGGCCCTTCGGGAGGCTTCCCTTGCACCTCGCCTTGCCAGCGTGCCTCTCCCTTACAAATGCCTTTCTAATCTGTTTAACAGGCAACTGGATTACAACCAGATCAGCTGTATTGAAGATGGGGCATTTAGGGCTCTGCGTGACCTGGAAGTGCTGTAAGTATTCCTTGTATCTCTTACTTGTAGCAAGAGCTCAGTGTCTGGGGAGTACTAATGTAGAAGCTTATCTGCGAGCTGCAGCCTGGTGTCAGGATGGTCTGGTGAAAACATGTCTTAAAATAATCCACTGTGATGTGCTATAAAATGGTAAAAAGATGTGAAGAGGCAGAGATACGCCTTTACACTGCAAGACAGCCTTTAAACATAATTATTAAAAAAAAAAAAAAGCTCCATTGGCAGATACCGTAAGAAAATAATATATTTCATCTTAAAAGGGGGGAAGGCAGCAGTATTAATGAACCCAATTAATTTTGTAAATTATCCATCACTGTTGATGTGATGAACATTTTCAGGATTGCTTTTGTTACATATTTTGACATCAATCTGATCATTCAGACTGTTTAAGGAACAATGTGCTATGTATATTTGACAAACTGAATGTTTTCAAAGAGGCATTTTCAATCAAGCACTACTGCTGTATGTCAAGATATTTAGCATGTGCATGTAAATAGCTCTTTTTAAAAACATTTCAAGTTTTATGTGCATAAATACATATGTATGTTTAGCAAAATACCTTCTTTGTTGTCACAGAAGGTTATTTTTACAATACTCCTTTCCATACTTTTTCACACGTTCTCAAAGTGGCTATCAGTGAGGTTAAAGGTAACAAAATTATCACCAGTGACCCCTCATCTGACAGTATCACTGTAATGAGCAAATTGCCTCTGTTCCCTAAGAATCTGAGACACAGGACACATTCCTGAAATATTTGCTCTGTCAGTCAAAATGACACATTTTTTCTGGATTTTCTATGTTAAGAGAAGTAGAAGAACTTGTGTATCAGTGAGTTACTTCATGTTAATTTAAATCACACTCAGTTAATCACAACTGGAAGAGGATGAGGGAGCAGGTTTTGTTGTGTCTGGGGTTTTGCTTTTTATAAAAATTATTCTGAAGTAAAGAAGCTTCTCTGGCAGTAGATAGTGTCTTCATGTCCAAGAAACTAAGGAGTTTGTAAGCAGCTGGTGGTAAAGTTTTTTAATATTAAGCACTAGTTGGTCTTACTTACAAGTGAGTGGATCTGGCAGCTAAATTGAATTATCTTTTTTTCTTTGCAGTCATAGAATAACAAGCCTGTTGTTAACTCTGTGGTATAAAGCCATGTAAAACCTACTGTAGGTTCGGTACTGCGTCTGATTGTTAAGTCGATGAATTGTTGGTGCCTGTCAGTAAACCTGATGTTCTCTGAGATTTTTGTCATTGGAACACGTATATGACAGAATAATTTTTCCAGTGACAGCTTAATCTGGTTATTATATGTTGTGTTGTTTTTTCTTTTTTTTTAATACAAGCCTTTCTTTACAAGTGCAATTGTTAAATGTTTATTAAAAAAAAAAAAAAGAAATCAAATGTGTTCTGCATTTTTTAATGCTTGCAATTTTAGTGTTCTTAGTATTCTAAAAAGGTCATCCTTGCTAATTGAGGTTAGTGGTAAAATTTTTAAATTTATTTCAGTGAGTGCAAAAGAGGAAAAAAAACCTCTAAAATAATAATCTGCTGGAAATTAGGTGGTTAGAATTTTGTGAATGAATATAGATAGTATGTAACCACTGTTCAAATATGTAACTAAATTTTCACTATCTTAAGGTATAGTATGCGATAAGAAATTAGATTCAGTTTTTTTAAAAAAAGTTGAAGTAGACATTTCTAACAGCACCGAAGGTTTTGTATCTAATTCAGCTTCCTTTCCAATATGGCTTAAAGAATGAAAGATGTGTGGATCAGACCATACTGTATATGCACTGAGTAGCAAATACAACTATGCATGTTGTTTTCATTTGGAGTTAATTGTTCTGTCTAAGCAGAGGAATGTATATTACTTCAAACTTCAAGTATGAGGTAAAGCTTTTAAATAGATTTTAGTCCTGTTTAGTGACAGTTTGAAATGCTTACCAATGTAACAGGTCTTAAATATTGGTTATATAACCAATATAACTTTGGAGGCAGTTAGTGTTAAAGATGCAAAATAACCTGAATGAGAAAAGCAATTAGAGGTGTAATCATCACTGTGAAGTTTTAGTATTCCTTTGTCTTTTTTTTTTTTTTTTAATGGAAAATCTGCTGTATTTGGGAAACAGATTATGGGGAAAATATAGAGTGCTGTCATGTTAAAAAAAGTTAAATTCTAAGAAATTGAAAAAGAGTAATCACAATCTTTGCTATAAGTAACTTGTAAAACAGGTAAAAGTGTTGAGCCAACTTTTTTTAATTATTGTGATCTCTGTAATGAAATCAAACATTTTTATCATTAGATAGAAACAGTCATAAAAGGTTTTTAATTCCTTATATATCCCTTACATCTACTCCTACATCTAATTTTTCTTACCCTTGCAAAAATAAACTAATAGCTCAAATATACAAAATGCCAAGGCAAACATCAAACAGTTCAAACTGAAAATAAAACATTTGCAGATACAGCTTTTCTTAACTTCAATGGAAATATGGACTGATTTCCCTTCATTGAAAAGACAAGATTTTAAAATCTTGTAAGATATTATGCAGGAAGATCTGTGGAAGCTGTCATTTACCATGTGGGTACTGAAAGAAAATTCTACCAAGATTTACTGACTGTCATTAATTCATTAAGACACCTTTTGTGGAGGTACCCACTTGGTCATTTTTTGTTGTTTCATTTTTATTAGGTTTTGAAAAAGGGCAAAATTTTTTTTTTTCTTTTTTTTTTATTTTTCCCCTCTGTTTATGGAGCCCCAAGAACACACAGGGGAGATCCCTTAGGCTCAGCAAAGAAAAGATTTTAGGACATGGAATGAGTAAGCACACAAAGGTAAAATGCAGCACATTGCACCAGCAATTAATTGCTTGGTTAAAGTGGTGGTATATACCCTGATCCTGTTCAGGGTGCTATGAATTTACCTTTCTGTGTTTCAAAATCAGAAAGTACTTCAAAATTTATTCAAAATAAGCACAAATTACACTTTGTGATTAAAAAAAAAAAAAAAAAGGAAGAAGAAAAATACTTTCTACTTCAAAAGAAAAAATCTTTTTTCAGTGGAAATTATTATTTATTACTGTTACGACTATAAAGATTTCATTCTCCATTCTGCTCAAATGAATAACCTCTAATTCAAAACTATAAATTCTATCCATTGCTTCCTTGTTCTGGAGTTAAGCTTGTTTGTGTTTTGTTTGCAGCTTAAAGACAGTATTTTACTGCAAGTTCATTCATAAAGTTTCCAAATCTTTACAAACTACACATACCAAGTATGAGGGGTCTGAGCAAGCCAATAATAGGCTAAGGTTTATTTCTAGTTCCTATCTCAAGTTCCCAACAACTTCTCCTAAATTTAAATTACTAGATTGTTAAAGTATTATCTAATTCCTCACTCCTTCCATTATATAGCAGAAACTCCCCTATTGTTCATGTAGCTCTGGACCATCTATAGCAACTTATTCCATATAAAACCTAATTGCAGCTCAGAGTTAATATTTTCCTAAAGTTCTTGGAAAAAACCATTCAGATCTTGTAATATCTGTCAAAAAATAGACTCTTAGAAGCTAGAAAGAGAATTGGAGTGCTAGAACCAAGACGTTCTCTAAAGGCTCTTTTTTACATCAGGATGTCAAGCTTAGCTTGAATGCCATAGATGTTCTCAACATTGGTGGAATTTTCTATTCAGAGAATCATGGGCTATTGGGACCTCAAATTACTTAGGTTTATTAATGGTAAAACCGTAATATTTTACTAGGAAATCAACAGAGAGGAAAAATATAGCTTAAAGTGTGGGGTTTTTTTCCTGCTATCCACCCCTAAAACCAATACACCATAACTTTCATTAGTTATACCTTTTTTAAAAGTGTAGTAAATGTGACATAACTGTAGTATGTTAACATGATTCTTCTTGACTTTGCAGCACTCTCAACAATAACAACATCACTCGGCTGTCCGTGGCAAGTTTCAACCATATGCCCAAACTCAGAACATTGTGAGTAGTCCTACTGAATCTGGCTGCTATTTCTATTGTTCCAGTATATATTTTTACCTCTACCAAGTTTTAGTTTTTTCAGGTGTCTAAAAACACATATATGGGCAAAGCAAGCATAAAGTCAATTGAAAAATATTGATGTAGCATGAGGTTGATGAGCGTGAAATCTGTGGGTCTATGGAAGCTGATTCTGAGAGGAAAACCTAACAAGTTCTACTTGGGGCTCAGGAGATAAAGGATTAGTTGCATCCTTTTCCATCAACTCTTTTAGAATGTGAGATGAATAAGTCTATGAAAATGGGGTTTTGGCCTCTTACCAAATGGGTGGGAAGCACTTTCCATAGCGTTGTATTCAGTTACAGAAAAGCTTCACCGTCTAACAAAAAAAAACATGAGGGCAGGGGGAATTCTCTTTTACATGTTACAGCTATATAGAGAAATAAATTGATGTTTTTTGAAAGTCAAAAATTTGTTTTACTTTGAGCTATTGAACGGGTCACATTTCATTTAGGAACATGGGAGAATCTTTGATTGACTGTCAGATGTGATAAATGGGAAATCTTTATGCTTTTATTACTGTACTGCTAGCAGACCTAATTAAACTAAACTGGCTCGCCAACATTCTTTGTAACATAAAATTATAGCATCATCCGGTTGTGCTATTATAATTAAAGTTGTGTCAGCATTTACAATAAGGTCCCCATTTTTAGAGGTTATGACTTTCAAAGAGGAACACTTTGGTCTTCTAAAACAAAGCACAGTGAAAAGAGTGTATATGGAAGTGATAGGGGTTGGGATTATTTTTCTGCAAATAAATATATGTTATGTTGAGTGGCAAAACCAGAAAATATCAAGGTTTAGCCCTGAGACTCACTTTCAAACAGATTGTCCAGTGAAACGGGAATTAAAAATTAATGAGATGCTTCTATCAGAGGTCAAGGGAAGCTGTTACTGTTAAAGAACTACTTTTACAAAAGGTCTGTCTAACTTCTTTTACACATGTTGGTTTGCACAACTGTATTGAAATCAGTAGGGATATTCACCTGAGTTAACATATTGTTTGTAACTGAAGAAACTTCATTCAAGTGAGTAGCTCTGTGGATTTCATAACAAAATTGTAACCATTCTTGCTTGGACAAACACAAAAGCACTTAAATAGTGCTGATCATGGGTGGCCTCAGCTAGATTTTGATAATAGAATTTCATTCTTTCAGGTCTGAGTCTTGAAAAAAATCATGTCTGTACTTCTTTCAAACCTTCAAATACAATTTGAAGTATTGTCCTGTATTAAAATACAACTTTTCTGAACCACAAAATATAGTGAATCAAATCAGCAATATTTATATTTTCTTTGATTGGGATATATCAACTTCTGAAAATATTATTTTAGAAACAAATTAAACTAGACACAGATTATCACTGTGATAAAACCATTTGCAGTCAGAATATGCTTGTATAACTGTATTGATTTTAGTGGCATTAGTTCTGATTTGCAATGGTGTTCTTGCTTACAGCTGGCCACAGATTGTACTGAATGACTGTGCTGTATCTTGAGCTATATTTGCAAAGCACTCACCCAAAAATAAGTACAGGAAAATATATTGCCTTTAATTTCTACTCATTTATGGGAGGGGGAAATTGTTAGCTAATATTTTTGTTTATGTTGGTTACACATTTCAGGTTGCTTTGCAGATTTATTTTGCAGTGGATTAATTAAACTCCTTGTCTACATTCTGAATGTCTTGCATTTCCTTTACAGTTATTTAATTAGGACTGAGCACATCAGCTAAAAAGGACCAAAGTGGCATTACTCTGTTATGGATGATTCTGAATACCGATTTGATTTATAGCTCTGGACATCCTTTTCTGTAGTTTGAGAAAATGTAAGAGCCAGGGAAGAGTAATTTACCTAATTTAGTGAATACATTTGTCTGATATTTTATCAATGGCAAAGTGCTTTTTGCCACTTGGCAAGGAGCCATGGTCTTGTGTCAGACCGCTGCAACAGAGAGACAACTTCCTTAATTCCATCGCTTGCTTCCATTTGGTCTTTTAATTTCAGGCATTGCTTAGAACATGCATCCCTAGTAGCCAAAAACAGCTAATCCCACTTTCTGTGGTTAAACAAAAAGAGAGGAAATCAGAAAAGAGATGTGGAAGAAGGTGCCTTATATTGAGTTATTACTCTATCTTGTTCAGCAGTAAATGAGTATGACCCGTTACAGGGATCTTTCAGGCTGTTTCTATAGAGACTAGTAATGACCTGACTTACAGATTTATCTAATTGGAAACCAAATCTTTTATTAACTCTTTTTTCTGACATTGTATTATCACCATAGGGCAATTTTCTTGAGACATTTTTGTCTTACTATTTGTACAGGTGTGGGCTAAAGAGTCCCACAGCAGCTTTCAAGCTCTTGTATATTTACTTCTTTCTTTTAGACAAGAGACAGGCAACTACAGATAAGTTAATTTATTAGGAAACATTCTTTTTTCTTCCAATTAATTAGACCACCGCCAAAAAGTAATTTTCCTACTTGTATAGTTTTCTTTATTGTCTTGTAACTCCCAGACTTTCAATGAAAGATGTAAAAAATCAATTCCTCATTAACAGCTGTATTAATAAATTGGCATAGTTGCTTGCTGGAGGGAGGGCGGGGCAAACTGGCTGCTCTTCTGTTTGTCCTTCCTAATTTAAAGGTATTGGCATGTCTCTTTCCACGCAGTCGTCTCCACTCCAACAACCTGTACTGTGACTGCCACCTGGCCTGGCTGTCTGACTGGCTGCGGCAGCGGCCGCGGGTCGGGCTCTACACCCAGTGCATGGGGCCGTCCCACCTCCGGGGACACAACGTGGCTGAGGTCCAAAAGAGGGAGTTTGTCTGCAGTGGTAAGGGAAACAGATTTGCTCATCCAGTCCTGTTTTGAAACACACCTACCAACTTCTCAGTGGTGATTGCTAGCGCTGCATGTTGACTTTCATTAGCTTTTGAGTAATCCAAGGATTAATGTTTATTAAAAAAAAAATCCTAATAATGATCAGTATTTGTATTATGTGGGGGGGTGCTTCTATCCTGAGAAATTGTGTGTAAATGCTGCATTCACATAGATTGTATAGCCTTCTAAAGGTATAATTATGGGGGAGAGATGCAGCAAATTAAATAAAAGCTGCACTTATTGAGAACATAAAGCCTTTACTAATAAGGCCTTATTATTTTTTAAAAACTTTACAGATTGATGCTTTTTCTTTGTGTTATTTTCTAGCATTTAAATACTATTTTGAATCCCTGAGTAACATTTTGAATTTTATTAGTATGCTTTAATGCATCAGGTTATTTTTGGTATAAAATAATGAAATTACTAACAGTTCATTACTAATCAAATTTTCTCTATTCAATTTTTTTCCTTTATTCATATCTTCTAGATGAGGAAGAAGGCAAGTTTATCTTTCTTATTTAAATATTTTTAGACTCAGACTGAAAATCTTCTTCAAATCTTTGTCTACTGTTCAAGTTTCCTCAAGAACATTAAAAACCACCTGCAATATTGCTATCTGCCTTTTCAGTGGTTCATAAGAGTTTCTTCTGCAAAGCCCCAGAAGCTTGTTGCCAAATATCCCGAAATTTGCACAGATCTATGCTTTTGAAAGTTTATGGAGAGCACAGTGTTCTGTCCTTTTTAAACAGTCTCTGACATCAAAGTGTAAGGCGCTGCCATCTTCACATGGCAAATGCTAGCAGTGTTCTTGCCACTAATTCTGCCTGTATGTACATTTAAAAGGCATCCTAACAAGATAATTTCATGTATCTTAATTTAAAATGTTATGGCTGCAGAGCTGAGTGGCATGAATGGTGTCATAACTTGGCCATTATAATGATTATTAGGAAGGAAAATAACCATGTTTTCTGCCTGGATCACTGTATTTGTATTTAATAAAGGTAAATGAAACATTTCCTCTCTGTAGCTACAAAACAAGAAGTGTGTATCACTTTTGGCAGCTGTTTGTACTTTTGTAACATGTACATAAATGTGAAATCAAATTATTATATTGTAAAATGACATGTCATAGAATCATAGAATGGTTTGGCTTGGAAGCAACCTGAAAGATCATCTATTTCGAGCTCCCCTTCCATGAGCAGGGACACCTTCCACCAAATTAGATTGCTTAAAGCCCCATCCAACCTGACTTCAACAGACTAATCTTTTCAGCAATTTAAAACTTGTGCAGTTGTTTTATAAATTTGCAAGTGGGAAGAGCACTGATCTGCAACTTACATTGTCAGTGTGCCCTTCCTATATTAATATATGACATGAAATATTGTGAGAGTGATCTTAAATTAAATTGTGGCTTCATAGTCAAGAAATAATTATTTTCTTTTTTTCCCTAACTTTTTTTAAACTTAACAGAAAAAGAAAGAAAAGGAGGGCATCATGCCTTACTCATTCTTTTGTGTCTTTGTGTGTCATTACAAAACAGCTATTTTTTATCATTAAATTGATAGAAGAATGAGTGCAATAATATATTTAAAAATGTGCAATCTATCTATTTCCAGGAAAATATAGTAAGTTTTTTACTTTGGAAAGCATAACTAAATACAAAGTGACTATGTTTAAATGCAATTAAAAATGCTGAGTTTAACAAACAGCACTAAAAAACCAGGAGGAACTCCTGTATAAATTAGTTAGTGAGAACAGTACAGCTGTGGGAGGAAGTCTGCTGAGCTAAAACTGAGAGAATAACAGCTGTTTGAATGCTGTTACGTATTATTGTGTGAGATAGAATCAAAATGTCATAACTCCAAAATTGTCTCTAAGTTATTTAGAACTGAAGGGCCATAATCAAATAAAGAGTTGCAGAACAGAACTGTAGCTAGCAGGACACCTTCAGTTCTTGTAGCATAGTTCATTTATTTCTCTGGCCTTCAATTTTTAATACTACACAAACTTCTGAAAACTAAATAAATCAGTAATTAGTTTTTAATAACATTCAATAAATAAAATATACCTGAAATATGGATCAGAATTTTATTTAACGGAATGATTTTGAATATTTTGGGTGTTGCTAAAGAAGTTGAAAAAATATGTAATGCTAGCACAGTAGTTGAGCATTTGTCTTTCATCTCTCAGTATTGAATCAACATGTTACTATTAACTGTGTGCTTAAATTAATGCAGTTTGAAAGTATTGATAGACTAGAATGTTTATTTTAGAAGTTCTGCCTTAGATTTTTCAAGTAAATGTAAAATGTTTTCCTTTGCAGGTCACCAGTCCTTTATGGCTCCATCCTGCAGTGTCTTGCACTGCCCCACTGCATGCACCTGTAGTAACAACATTGTGGACTGTCGTGGGAAAGGCCTTACTGAGATCCCAACGAACCTTCCAGAAACCATTACTGAAATGTGTGTAATCTGACTTTTTTCTATGTACTTGCAGAAAATATTTTTTCCTATGTGTTCATTTTTGTGATTTATATAAATTTATGCATTTTGTAGGGTAGGAATTTTGGTGGACGCATTCAACTTAAGATATAAAAGGAATACATAGGTTTCTGGAAACATTTATGATCTTTATGTTATCTTATGAGTTAGTTTTGTATGTACTACTCACAATTCATAGTTAAAACTGCATTCTGACTTCATTTTAAATGAGTTTGGGAATTCTTGCTTTTCTACAGTGAGTGACTTTTCACTGCAGATTATAAATGCCATTGCTTTTAGGGTTGCTTTCTGTGCTGCTTTTGGCTGGGATAGTTTTCTTCATAGTAGCTGGTATGTTGCTATGTTTTGGATTTGTGCTGAAGACTGTTGATAACTCAGAGATGTATTTGTTACTGCTGAGTGGTGCTTACACAAAGTCAAGGCCTTTTCTGCTGTCATCCCACCTCACCAGCAAGTAGGCTGGGGTGCACAATGAGTTGTGAGTGGACACAGCCAGGACAGCTGACCCCAACTGATCCAAAGGATATTCTACACCATGTGGCATCATGCCCATAATATATAGCTGGGGGAAGAAGCAAGAAGGAAGAGATGTTCAGAATGATGGTGTTTGTCTTCCCAAGTCACCGTTATGTGTGATGGTGATGGGGTAGTGTTCTTCTGGAGGTGGCTGAACACCTGCTTGCCCATGGGAAGTGGTGAATGAATTCCTTGCTTTGCTTTTCATGCAGCTTTTGCTTTACCTGTTAAACTATCTGTATCTCAGCCCTGAAGTTTTCTTGGTTTTACCCTTCTGATTCTTTCCCCCGTCCCATTTTGGGAGGTATGAGTGAACAGCTGTGTAGGTTTAAACTGTGACACTTACCTTCAGTCACTTTATTCATCAGACTTCCTATTAGAGAAGCATAAGAAAGCAAAAATAAGGTATAGTCTTTGTGTTAATACCACGTACCTGTGGGTAGAAGAGCCTGCACGCTGATATGGTTGCGTGACGTCATATACAGCAGAAACACGTACAAAATTACAATTGTGTCCTGACTCTAGAGAAGAGTCATAACACGGGTGCCATGGGGCCTTTTGTCTTCCAAAGCAAGGTGGCTGAGAGGCTGTGTGGACACAGAAGGAAAGTTACTGCTGCATTGTCTTCTATGCTGGGGAGCAACAAAAACAAGGGATGACTTGCTGACAAGACAGGCAGGGACCCAGCAACATGAGCATCTTTCTCTTCTGGGGATGGCAGGACAGTGTTTTGGAAGGGAAGCTGGGAGTTCTGTTTACAAAAATAGCAGGAAATGAGCTGTGACAACAACCTGGTAAGGTTTTCAGAATAAAAAGCTTGTGAGCACCTTGATGATATAAGATGATGTTAAGAATTTCAGATAAGGGATGTGAGGGGAACAGATTGCCTGAAGTGAAAGGGAAGATGTCTCCTGAACATATTCTGTTGTACACAGACCTCTGATTTTCTTTAAAGTTTAAAAACACATCTCCACAATGGGATTTTAATTGGCTTGTTGATATCTGACCCATGGTTTTGAACTTAACAGGGTTGGAACTACTGTGGTTTTCCTCTAAGGATGTGAATAATAATCACATCTGTCAGTTCATTGTTACTGCTGTTAAGACTGACCTGGCTGACCCAGTTCGGCTATATAATACAAACACTTCTTTTGCCTTTCACCCCTCTCAGAAAAATCCCTCTGCTTGCAAATAAAGTGACTTTCATAAAATCCATGCACAATGCCCGGGAAGGCTGTAGAAGGTCGTTCTCACTATTTAATGAGTTATATACTGGAGTTTTTACTTGCTTGTTTGCATCTGTGTGCCTAGAGAAGGAGAAAAAAATATTGCAAGAAAGAAGTACTTTTCTTATGTATGTAAGAAATTCTGTTGACTTTTAAGCATGGAATGCTACAATCTTCAGCAGTTTATTGTCCTGGAGAGTAAAAGTAACCATGTAGCAGTCCCTTCAGTATTTGGCTAAACAGTTAAAAAACTGTAGATTGAGGCTCAATGTTTCCTGCTAGTCTAGGCAGCATTCAGATTCCAGAGTGAGGCCTTTTCACATTCTAAGATCCACAATCCATTAAAATGTAGATATACGTGTGTGCTCGTATAAATACGTACAGTGCATAGAGTTTACAGTGATACAGTGTAAACTATCTGTTATCTCTCTGTGTTGTACATAGTCCATAGGTGCTGGCTAAATAAATTGCAGGTCATAGTATTTTGCTCAGTTATGTACACCAGTCATGCCATAAGACCTGAACACGTTTATTTAAAAGCTGGTGTAAGAAGAAATAAAACATTAAAAAATCAGACTTTAGTAATTATTTTGTATTAAACAGATGCACACCAGTGAATGTTGGTATGATGAAAAAACTGAACTTCAGTGATTGAATTAAATTTTGAGTAACACAGACTGATATAAAATAGGATTTAAGCCAGTTGCATTTACCATACATAGAGAACAAAACTTTCCTGTTGGGTAGAAGGTAGGAAGAGAAATTTACAGGAAAAGAAAGAAAGAAATAAGGCACATGAAATGCACTGAAATCAAGGGATAGAGTGGAAGAATTAGGATAGAGGATCTTATGAGAATTTGACGAGAACCACAGAATCTTTTTTGTTTCCTTGTCACTAAGTTGAAAAGGAATTGAATTTTCTTACAAACAAATATATTGTAATGGTTGTATGGGGAAAATTTATGCTATACTCATCGCTTTATTGTGAATAAAATAATTAGTTATAGTTCTCTTACGATTCTCATGGGTGGCAGGTGTATTTACCTGCTTAGCATTAAAGAAAATGAGAGACAGTGAAGAGGCTGGAAAATGAGGGTTTTACAGAGTGAGAAAGGTTTTGCCAAGAATGAAGTGAGAGAAATCTTAGACTGGATCAAACCAGCACTCCACCCTGGTGAGTGGCTCTCATCACTTGTTCCTGAAGAATGTTTTGGAAACAGAAATATATAACTTCAGAAATAAAACACCAAAGCACAAGTATTTTCGTTGCTCCCAAGGTGTGTTGGGGTTCCTCTGAAGCTTGAAAATTTGCATAGCTTTCAGGAAAAAAAGGGTTTTCATTGAAATGTCCAATCTGCTTTAAACCCAACAATGTCCTAAATTTTCATGTTCTATTAAGTTAATAAACTTTGGGAGAGGGAATTGCACTCAAAATCTTCCAGTTTAAAATACAGTTTTTTAAGTTTCACTGATGTTCGCTTGTCTTTTTAGAGGGAAAGAAAATGCATTCACGTTTAATTTGTCCTGTCACCTATTTTGCACCTCAGTCATCTCTTCTCTAAACCAGCTGTTCCGAGTCCATTCAATCTTTTGGATACCAAAACTTGCCAGGTTTTAATTAATCTCCCCCTCTTTCTCTGAATTGTTTTCTAAATTTTTTTTTTATTTGCAGTGACCAGAGTTGAATACGATATTCCAAATGGTAATGAACTGTCAGGTTTTTATTAATGGAATTTTAGTTTTCTTTCTTTTGCCTTTTGCAACCTAATAATATTATGTAACTGCCAGTACCCACCGCACCATGTTTTGTCTTGAATTTTCCGTGCAGAGTCCTAGGCCTGTTTTTTTAGCTGTTAGAATTTTGTCAGGAACCAGAAGTTTGTAGATTATCCCATCCACAGGCATTTCTGAACATTGAATCAGGTTGTATGTCACTTTTTGAAAGCTGCTCCATGAAAGACTTCAGTCCTCTCTGCTTTTAACTGACTACAACATGCAGAAAGATTGTGACATTCCAGTATTGTTATCATGCAATAAAAGGTGTTTTAAAGCTTCATTTTTAAAGAAGTACTCTGCAACTGTTGCTTATAGCAACCCCTTGAGATTAAATTGGAAATAATGATTGTTCCCACAAAATAATCTGGTTTTTTTCACTTATTCCTTAGACAATAATGTTGTCAGTATGCCAAATGGTAACTGACAGTAAACACTTGAAGAGATGAGACCATGCTGTCATTGTAGTGTTAAGAATACTGAGGAGTTGCTGAAACCAAGGCAGTGGGGTATAGTGAGCCCTGTATTTCCACCACTGCTATACAGTTCCCACACACATGGCTTTATTACCTTGTCACCATTTTAAGCACACGCTTTGGCAGGAGCTCCCCATTTCTCAGGGAGAGAGGGAGAGAGAAATGTGCTGGCTCCCTGTTGTCTTCTGAAGGATGTACAGGCTTTAACAGCCAAATTATTATTTATTCACTCATCTTTATAATAGTACCATCACCAGATTTTTGTGCACACTGCAATAAAAATGGCATGATACCTCTATTTTACCTGCACTGGATGTTGTCCAGTCTTTTCAGTACTTTCCTTTTTTTTTTTTAATCTTCTTCTGCATTTTCTTTTGAACATCTGATTTTCATACTGTATTGAGAGGGACATTTCCTTACTCTGAAGAAGTTTCTCTGCCCTCTCTCCCCTCTTTATGGGCTGTATTTGCAGGATTCAGTGCAAAGTACTACTAGCCTGTCATGTTATGCTTCAGCGCACTTCATGGTCAACGAAAGCCACTGATGTTTACATCTGTCCTTCCTTTTGTCTCTGCTCTATTGTATTTCATATTAATAATGTTCTCCTGTGAGGCTGACATTAAACTTTGTCAGCCCTCCTTTATAGAGGTGCTTAAAATTTGACAACTGATTTTTGTGAGATTTTATTTTTCCATCCATTTCTACCTCTGTATTATTTGTTCTTATATTTTCTTTCAACACATGCTCATGGTTTTGTGATATTTTGCCATATTCTCTATCCATTTCTTCCATCCTTTCTCTCAAAGGAAAGCCTGACCTCAATCAACTCCTCAGTACCCTATGAAGCACAAAGTTCTTTCTCTTTGCCCAAAACCAACTGTCTTTGAAAAAAATATCATCTGATCTGCTTCTGCACAGAAATACTTTGTATTTGTTACATTGTCAGTCCATCTGGAGCAATATTGCATAA